TCCTTAATCCATACAGTAAATGTTTCTAAGTTCTATTAAAGTTTAAGATACAAAAGACAGTACCAACACGATCGTTTCAATACCGTCTGTCGATTAAAAAATTTTGGTATTGACATTGTACATGTCACACCAAGAAAATCAACTACTTCTAATTAATTTCTTCAACATTTTTTTTTCTTTTAAAGTTTTGCTATTTTGGTAAGCGACATTGCAGAAATTATCTGTTCTATTGACGTTGACTCCAGCATTGAAACTCAACTCTTATCCCTAATCGTCTTCCTTGTTGTCGTCGTCCTTATCGTCATCGTCTGATGCGGACTTGGTGCGGTTGCGTTCCCCACGTAGAGCCTTAAGCTGCCGCGGGGACCACGCCTTCCACGGCTCGACAAGCGTTTCAACAGGCCTCACCAACTCAATAAATCTTAACAAAATGTTGTGTGGGTAATAGGTCTCAAAACCAACAAAGTATATACCATTTGGCCTAATGACGTATTTACACAAATGCCCTCCGCACAATGTAGACGTCATCGACAATGTCTTGATCTCAGCATCAGCTGTCCCTTGGCTCGACATGAACTGGCACTGGTGGATCACCACGCCGGTTCCAAACGGCGGGACTTCGAAATCCCATGAAAATTCCGATTTGGGAATAGATTTGTGCCACCGGAGTGATTTCTCAGACGACTTGCACCGGTAGACAACCGATGGACGTTTCAAGCCATACATTTCGTTTTTCACCAATAGCGAGAAAGCCACGTTTCCGACTTCAATCGAGTTCCCTTGAAATATGATGACTTGCAATACAAGGCAACAAATTAAGGTTTTGGCAACACAATTTTCTCCTCTCATTTCTCTCTCTTTTTTTTTTTTCCGTTTTCTCTTCTTTTGTTATAAAAACTTTCTTCAATTCTGGACTCCTGTTGGTTTTTTCTTGATAACACTTTATTTTCCTTTCCCTTTTATATTTTTACTAGAAAAAACGAAAAGTTATGAAAGGAAATTAGTTTTGTAGCGACTAACGAGATAACCGATTCCAAAAAACAGTGCATATTGTCGGATAATAATAAAAGGGACCTAAGTTATCTCCAACAATGTAGTAATTAGTGATAACATTAAAAAGAAAACAACATTATTGTTATAACTTCTAACAGTATTTTCCCTTGATGAGCATTTTTTACACGTGTATAAGTTACGCTAAAGCTTGTGTTTGTTGCTCAAAGTTCGTTTTCCGTTATAGCATCGGACATTATACTTATAAGGAAAAATCTAAAAACATTAACATTAGAGTTAGAGAAAAATACCGATTTGTTATAAGAACATTTATCCATTATCCATATTTTACGTTTAGCGCCGTTAAATATAATAGCAAAATAGCATGAGGGTTATCTTGATTCACATCATTAAAAGAAATATCCTCATATGTGCGTATATATGTGAATGTGGTCAACAAAATCTAAAATGTGGAGGATAACCGACCTAGGTCTCAAGTGGTTCGGTGGTTGGGTTTACGTTAATATGTTGCAGAACGAAAGTAAACTAACTTTTAAATGTGACAAAAAAATTAAACTTTTTAAAAGTTGTAAATGCAAACTCGAAACGCAATTTTTCATTTAGAAATGTGGCACCGTTTTTTTGTTTTTTTTTTCCCAAAAGTATTCATAGTAAGATAACAAGATTGCCTAAATTAATAAATAGTCATGGTTATTTAATGCATTTGTCCATATATCGTTGCATCAATAGTAGAAATGTTCGTTTATTTGTTTTAACTTGTTTTTAGAAAAATTGAAGGATTAATACTTGTTCATTTTAACTGAAGATATTATATCTACGAGAAAACAAGAAAGATGGGAAATTTACAAAAAAAAATATAAAATATAAAATTATTAGTATTTTTCCAACTATTAGTATCAGAAACTAAAATGTAAAGTGTTATATAAAGGAATTCAGATATTTCGCAAACAATGCACACGTACTACAGAAAACATAAACAAAAATTCTTAAACATATAAATAACTTCATTGTAATGTATCATCAGAAATTTCTTGACAAACTCTTCCCTTTGAATACAATCTGTCTTACGTGAAACCCCAATGATCATATTCGTTTAATGGATTAGCCTTATGGGCTCTAAATCATTGTGAACCCCCTGATCGACTTTGGCTTCCCAGTCTGCCGCGGCCACGACTGCTACTGCGCCGCGGCCAAGGCTTCCACTTACCTTCGAGGTATTTCCGAGGTATCAGTTTAGGATACCTCTCCGAAAAATCCCATTCTTTACCATCATACATTATCCCTTCCGGTGTGACCTTGTGAACGGCACATTCCTTTTTATAATTACAAATCTCGGCATTGATCGCGGTCATACGGATATCGACATTTGCTGTACCGAGCACCGACCGGAAATGGCACCGGTGAATCTCCTCCTCCAATTTTTGGCCGCCTTCCAAGAGAACATGGAAAGAATGTCCGTATGGTGGCTTTTTGGCTCGTCGCCATCCATAATCAAGGCCAGTATTTATAGATTTACAATGGTAAACGATCTCTGGACGTTTCAAGCCTTGCATTTCATTACGTATATTCAGCTCTGTTGTGACGAAATTTGACCTTCCGGCGTAAGAGACCACGGTGACGTTCACCACAAGGAACCATGCTAGGGTTCTTATAAATTTGTCGATGTTAAACGTCATTTTGTCTTCCTTGTCGTGATAATTTTTCTCGTTTTTGGTACCTTTGGATTTTGAGATTTGGTTTGTTCTTGATCACGTTAGTTTTTAAATACGTTTTAAAACTGAAATTTGTTGTAGAGGCCATATAATTATTATTTTTTGTTATTTTTATGTGGACATTTAGATTTGATATGACAAATTAAGAAGCCATAAATGTCCATAAGAAAGTTATGTAACAGAACCGGTACTTTGTAAAATTTAACCTTTTTTAGTGGGGAAACTGTATTAAAGCTTGATTGTTTTTCAATGTCTTCCATTACGTTTTCGTTTGTTCCAACTATTAGAATCCATTTACGTCTATATGATTCTTTCTAAAAACATTTGCGTCTATATTTAGAGTTAAACTAATTGATTATTATTATATGTTTCTATTTCTTGTTTACCTAGTATCTATATTATATGTGTTAGTTTTTATAAATTAATCTTTGAGGAAGTAATATGTCAAACAATGAAGTTTATTTGAATTTTATCAGTTAATTCAAAGCTTAAAGCATATTCATCGCTTGATACTCTTCATAGTCTCTCACATATGATATTTTAATATGATTTGATTATTATTTAAATTTTAAATTAAAAAAAAGTTATTGAACCAATTAGATAAGAACAAGTGGCAAGTGAGTATTTTTAATGTTGAGAATCTGTTTTTAAGTAAGAGTCTTCATTCTTTTTCATACTTTTTCAATATTTTTATTTTTGAATGCTAAGAAACCCATGAAGAAATCTCCGATAGGTTTTCTCTTAGAATTTTCTTATATTTTGAATTAATTTTTAATCGATTTCTGTATTATATCTGCACAAAACGCATACCATATTATACACATATATTAATGTTTTATAAAACTAGACAAGTTTATATACTATCAAACAATTTTAGCAATTTTCAACCATTCCGATATCTCAAGCTAGATGCCTTAATTGACAAACTTAAGTTTAATTTAAACTTTAAACCCCGAAACCAATTTTGTTGAAATACTTTGACAACTCATCATTTAGATGCAACTTGTGATGCAAGGAAACATTTTCTAAACCCATGAGACCATTCTTGTCCAAAAGTTTTCAAGAAACAATTTTGTTGATAAAAATTAAAAGTATTATCCCGGCAAACTATTAAAAATCAAAAGAGACCGCTAAACCTAATTGATATAATGCATTTTTTGGCGCATTCTAATCTTTGTTTTGTAGGTTTTTATCGAGTTTTTTACTTTACTTTGAGTCATTTTAGGTCTTTTTGAAGATTCTGAAGAAAAAGAGCACCCGCTCCCGATCACTAGACCTGCTCCGCAGAAGATCCAGTTTCGAAAATTTTCATTAAACCTATTTTTGCCACCTAGGATTTTTCTAATCAATCCCAGCCGCCCCAGACCATTATTTAAGGATATTTTTCGATCCCTTTTAGGGGGGACCCG